CCCACCTGGGACTTAGGGGATGCATGTTTGTCAGGTGGAGAGCGATGTGGAGCAAAAGAAGCTGTAAGTCTCATTCAGCTAAAAGACTCAGCGTGCAGAGGCCTGCATCCCAAATACATTTTAACACAGGTAATTTCTTTTCCATTCATTTGCAAGCACTTATTTCATTTACCCAATTCCAAGGCCAACAAATCTTGGCATTAAGTCTGACTTGGTATGTGATGTGGACAGTCTAATTAAGGTTAGGGAATTTTACCAGCTCCTCTAAATTTTCTTTTCTCCGTCTACAAGTTTTTATACTGGGTTGATCTTTTTCTTATTCAAAAGGGCTTCATTCCCATTTGTCATGGCTGCACTAACTGGGCATCTAATGAAGACTTGGATATGAGAGTCTGCATCTCATTTATCCTCAGTAGCAAAATTAATAAAGCAGAAAAAAAAATAGCTTCTTGTACTGGAACTTTTTTAGCCTACCCTGAGTCATCTAAAATATATCTTGACCGTGTCTTCCAGAATTGGGGCTCAGCTTTAAACTTTAGGAGAGAGTGCCCGACTTCAACTTCCATCCACTGGCAACCCATACCCTACTCCCTTGCCCAACCCACTGTTTGGAGAGGGTTGGATTAGAGTGGCCAGGAGCCTATTTTCCCACTAATTCCCTCTACACACATTTATTAAGCACTTTCTATAGTCCAGGCTCAGAGATACAAAACAGATTCAAGAAGGTCACAGTCAAATGGTCCTGCCACCATTGACAGCCAACATCCAATGAAAGAAAAATATCTTAGCTAAATATTAATGTTGGGAGCAAGTGCAAAGATTATGTGCCCTATCCTTTTGCTGCTGGAAGGGTGACCCTCCCAACCAGTCCTTTTACTAATGAAGGGCTGTCAAATGTCTGTTATATCCTTAACTTGTAGACTTTATTTATATCCATAAATATTAGTGTATTGGTTTCCTAGGGCTGCCATAACAAAGTATCACAAACTGGGTGGCTTAACAGAAATTCATTGTCTCACAGTTCTGGAGGACAGAAGTTCAAAATTAAGGTGTTGGCAGGGCTAGAATTTCAGGTGATTTTTTCTCACTTTATTTATAATTTTTATGCTACAGAAAAGTCTAATAAAAATAATATGATAGAATTATCTCATTTAGCAAGCCTTATGGAGCAGCCACGTAAATCTAGCCCTGCAATCTCCCTCTCGCATGAGCACTAGACCACTTGAGCTCTACAGCAATCATTTGTTCTCACCGTCATTGAACTGTTATTTTTTCATGTGTACTCACCTACATCATACGTAACTTGAGGAAACAAACAGGCCTTCTTACTCAGATTTAACAAAGCTTATTTACTGACTCCCACAATACACCACCCCTCTTACATAAAGTATCTCATGTAATCCTTCCCTCAACCTGATGAGGCAGATAACGGTACCCTCACATCACAGATGAGCCCCCTGAGGCTCTGTGGTCACATGGGTAGTCAGTGGCCAAGCCAAGATTCAAATCTCCATCTGTCTGACTCCAAGGCCACTGATCTAGCATATGCTATCCTCACCATGCTCTACCAGCTCAGTAGACTTGTGGATCCCTTCCTTCACCCCAGAACTTCCATCTGAGCAATGTTTTCTGTGGCCTTGGTGCCCCCTGGTGGCATGTGAGGGATCATTCCACTGTGACCCTAAGCATTTGAATAGTGACCCTCCACCCAGTGCAGACAGCCCTCTGCACCCAGAGAAAGCTAGACCCTATACCAGAGCTGCCCTTCTTTTGGGGGGGGGGGGAGGGCGGCTGGCCAGTACAAGGATCGAACCCTGGACCTTGGTGTTATCAGTACCATGCTCTAACCAACTAAGCTAACCAGCCAGTCCCTGAACTGCACTTCTTAAATGGACGCCCCTCAGGAGGTTTCTGCTTCTGATGGGTCAGGGAAGAGGGGTTAGGGTCTCTTGGGCCAACAGCAGTTAGATGATGTGTAAGGTCTAGGTTCCCCTCCCTGCTTTTCATCTCCCACTTCCCAGTCGGGACATGTGGGCATGGGCATTCTTTGTTGGACTCTCCTGGATTTTCATTTTCCAAGAGCTTATTTATGGAAGAAGGGAAAAAGAGGATAAGGGTGGTTAAAGTGCAGGATCTAAAGGTTCTTTACATTACATAGAGTCCTTTTCCCAAAAGACACTATCAAGACTCTTCAATGAATATTTGATGTATTCCTATGTGCTGTGGTGCTCAGGATGAACACACGGAAAAGACCCTCTCCCTGTCTTTCAAAAGTAAGCATATAAAAAATTACAATACAATGAGGCAAGTGCTCTAATATGTGTCCTGGGACTTCTCCTGTCACCCCAGAAATGGTTACCAGCCCTCAAAACTAACAATAAATCATCAAACATCCCCCAAACTAAAGAAAGTAAAAAACAGTTAGGGGTCAGACACCTCTTCCAACCACTATCCCAGCCCCCAGCGCCTGCCCCTTCCTCTGCCTGCCTGCACAGGGCAGCAGAGCAGAGACAAAGGGCTGGTATGGAATAGCCTGCCCTCTCACCTTCTGTGTGGCATGGATTTGTGGGCCTGTTATCACCTTCTTCCTACTCTTGTTTTCCATTCAGAAGCCTTCCTTATAGTCTAACAACATCTTTTCTAAGAATCCTTTCATCATCTGGCTTTGAAATAATCTGAGATACCCTGGAGCTACGTTGGCCAATACCGTAGCTACTAGCCACGAATGGCTATTGAGCACTGAATTGAAATGTGCTGTAAGTGTAAAATATACACTGAATTCTGACAACTTAGTATGGGAGAAAAAAAATGTAAAAAATCTCATTAGCATTTTTTATCAATTACATGTTGAAATGATATTTTGGTTTTATGTTTGGATAAATAAAATTTTATTTAAATTAATTTCACCAGTTTTAGTTTTTATTGTGGACACCAGATCACTTAAAATTGCAGATGTGTGGGCCGGCCCGGTGGCGCACTGCTACAGTGCGCCGCTTGGGAGCGCGGTGGCGCTACCGCCGAGGGTTCGGATCCCACAGACCGGCCACTCACTGGCTGAGCGAGGTGCGGGTGCAACACCGAGGGTTGCGATCCCGTTGCTGGTCCCGATCCGGTACGGGCGTGACACTGAGGGTTGCGATCCGTTGCCGGTCACGAAAAAAGACAAAAAGGAAAAAAAAAAAATTGCAGATGTGTGGGCCGGCCCGGTGGCGCACTGCTACAGTGCGCCGCTTGGGAGCGCGGTGGCGCTACCGCCGAGGGTTCGGATCCCACAGACCGGCCACTCACTGGCTGAGCGAGGTGCGGGTGCAACACCGAGGGTTGCGATCCCGTTGCTGGTCCCGATCCGGTACGGGCGTGACACTGAGGGTTGCGATCCGTTGCCGGTCACGAAAAAAGACAAAAAGGAAAAAAAAAAAATTGCAGATGTGGCTCACATATTTGTTTGGACAGTGCTGTGGAGGACTGAAAACCAGAGCTGAAAAGCCCTAGCCCAGCAAAGTTGTACAGCGCATGGGACCACAAGGGGGCGGTACTGCAGCGCCGAGTTTCCTCGGGCACGCGGGCAGGAAGCAGGCTGGCTCCCGGGACAATTGGCACAAACTGTGCTTCAGTACTTATGTTTTCTAATACTATCTTTTAAGGGCAATTTTAAACTGCTTTTTCTAAAATTTATATGGCCCATATTGTGTTACCCCTCACATAATAAATAATTTTTCTAGAGCAGGAGTCCAAAATCCCTGAATTACAATATTCGAACTGGAATTTTAAGGCTGCTGCAAGCTTCACTAAGACAGCGAGGGAATGAAGAGAGAGTGAATTCAAGTCCAGAGAGCCTCGGAGCTGGGCCCCAGATCTGAAAGCAGACTAAGTAAAAGCTATAGGTGAGAAGGCTGGAGGAAACTTGGTACTGGGATTGATGCACAGGAGTGGGTAGAGGCTTATGGGGGAAAGGAGAGCCTGTCGATATACTCCCATTTTCATCAAAATGATACCAACCTGAGTGTAAGTTGGCATCATCTTTCTAGAGGTAAATTTTTAAGTGTATATCAAAAGTCTTAACAATGACTGTATCCTTTGACCCAGTAATTCCATTTATAGTAACTTATCATAAGGAAAATTTTAAACTGCACAAATATTTAACTATATGAATATTCGCCCAGCAATGTAATAGTGCCCCCTACCCCAAACACTATAAGCAACCTAACTTTACATTAATAAGGGGTTAGTTAAATGAATTAAGGTATATGTATAACATGGAATATTTCACTATTACAAAGGATGTAAATGAATATTTAGTGACATGGAAAGACATTTATGCTAAATTCTGTGAAAAAAAGCCACCTATAGAATTGTATGTCCAGTATGTATGTCAATTTTGCTTAAGAAAAAAAAATGTGTACATTTGCAAAGACAGCTATCTGAAAGAATATTCTCCAAGGGATTAACAGTCATTTCTGCACAGTGGGACTACGGTGGTTTGTTTCCCTTATTTTTACCATTGCTTTTATAATTAAAATTTTAACGTTATTTTTAAGGAGTCCTACCTAGTATTCGTTACCAGTTAGGGCCACTTTCTTCCCCAAAACTTTCCTGAGTCATTGCCATAGGAAGTACCAATGTCTTCGTTAAAATTCCAACACCTTGCCAACACCCAGTTAGGAGTTGCAACCTTGTTCCATCTCGTCCTAAAATTTAGTCGCCTGTGTGTATGTCTTACCCCCACACGCCTGTGGGCCCTTTCCCAGCGGTCCTGTCTCTCTCTTCGTACCTGCCCTCCGCCTAGATCAGACCCCGCCGACCAGCCAGGTTATTGTAAAACTTAAGATCTGGCCCCTAAGGTTCGGAGTCTGTTGAACCGGAATCCAAAGGTTAAAAATCGCTGAGACAAAGTGCCAGGAGAGGAAATGCAAACAGAAGGAATAAAAGGGCCAGGCTAGGGAGCGAGGCACTGAGGACCCTTCTCCCGGACAGGGAATAATCCGCGTCGCTTGTATCCGCAGGGGAGCCGGGTGCGGGTCAGTTCGCCGGTCGCTTCGCGGGCAGTTCAACTCCTGGACGGGATTTGTGGGGCGGAAGCGCAGAGATGTTTTTTGGTAAAGAACGCGGATACTGCGCCGCGATGAATTGTGTCCCTTTGGCGGCTCCGTCCCGGTCCTCGCCCCGCTTGCATCATGTGACCCAGGCCTGTGGTGGGGGAAGGACGCGACGAGCTGCGGGAACCTGGGCCGGGTTACCTGGTGGGTAGAATGGAGGCGACCTTGGAGCAGCACTTGGAGGACACGTGAGTACTGCGGTCCTTTTCGGCCTGTCCCGAGGTCACGGTGGGGGAACTTGAGGACAAAGGCGAGGACTGCGAGTGCCGGCCGGGGCGTCTCAGGAACGCCGCGCGAAACCCGGGACACGGGATGAGCGAGTGAGCCCAGCCCCGGGGCCTCTGGGCGGGGCGGGTGACCCGGAATTAAAATCCCGCCGGGCCCCGCATATTCCGTCACACAGCGCGTCTCCCGGCCCAAGCAGGAGGCTAAAGATGTCTCATGCTGTTGAAATAATCTATAAAGTGAGGGCGGTTCTTCGGGAGTTTTAGAAAATGGGTTAATTTTTGAGAAGGATGTGCCGAGTCGAGCCCTGCAATGTGAACAAACACACCTGTATCTCCTATCAGTTACTTACTGCTTAAGGAGATAAAAATCATCCCTTAAATTTTTCGAATGAGTAGTATCTGTGTAAATTTCAAAATTGGAAAAGTATAGGAAGGCATATAGAGAGACACCTTCCTCCCACCAGTGTCCCTCAGCTTCTCACTTCCCCTCCGGGAGGCTACTTGTGTTACTTAGTTTTCTCAACAGTTGTTCTAAATGAGTTAGTATACTAAAGCGTGCATTTTTAACAAAAATGAAAAAATTCTAGATATTGCAATGTTTGCGGCCCTCCAGAGTTCAGCAGTACTTAACACAAGTTTTTCTCTCATCAGAGAGAAATTGGTCTAATTACTTAAATTAATTATAATTTTTCTCTGGGGTAGGCGATAATGAAAACAAAATGGAGAAACACTGATTTAAAGCACTTATTGCCTGGTACATAGAAAGCCTATATGTGTTAAAGTTCTTTAAATCCATTTTCTCACATCATCTGCTCCATCTCTTCTGTGTTCCTGGAATTAGAATGAAGAATCCATCCATCGTTGGAGTCCTGTGCACAGATTCACAAGGACTTAATCTGGGCTGTAAGTATCTCATACCAACCCTTTGGTAGTTTGCATGGCATCTGATGTTGACTTGGACCCTGGTGTGATACTGTTCTCTGGCTTTTATTTCCTGTTACCTTGCTTGCCACTTTCTGGATACTTTTGTGAGAGTAGAGATTATCTCTAAATAACAAGATTAGAAAATTGAAACTTTTCAGTTGATATTTATGAAGGTAGAAATGTTCCTTGCAGTTCTAGCACTAAACAGTTGTTTCTACTAAAATAGTATTTGAATCATTTTAAATTGGGTTTAGGAAGGACTTTAGATAATGACAGTTGTTACCATTTATTGAATGTATGCCATATGCTGGGACCACTAGGCTTTATATACATTATCTCTAATTTTCACAATACCCTGCAAGATGTTTGGTGCTGTTTTTTAATCCAATTACATTTAGCAATAAGTGAGTAGGCAGTGAAAGGGGGAATTTCAGAGTTGGACACACCTGGGTTTAACCATGTGGTCTTCCATTTGCTAGTAGTATGAACTTGGACCAAAAATAACCTTTCAGAGCCTCAGTTTTTTCACTGGGTTGTTGTTTAATAATGGTAGTAATTATAGAATCACATTTATTGAGCTCTTATTATGTGCCAGCAGGCATCATTCTGAGTGCTTTATATATATTAACTCATTTATTCCTCATAACAGACCTGTGCAGTAAAGAAGCCGAGGCACAGAGTTTAACTACTTGCCCAAGGTCATACAGCTAGTAAGTGGTTGAGTTAGAGTTCGTATCTGGCTCCAAAGCTTCTTCATCACAATACTATAAGATTATATAATATGTGTAAAACAATCAGCACAGAACCTAGACATAATGCTCAATAAATAGTAGCAATTGCAGATGAGGAAATAAATCCAGAAAAGTAAATAAATAAAGCAGTTAATGAATGTCAAAACTAGTACCTAAGACTTCTTACTCCTAATGCAGGAATTTTAAAGTGCTGAATTTTTGGTGAATGGATAACTGAAAGAGGTAATCTGTGTAACTCAACTATGTTTTACACACAAATAAGTCATTTGGGAGGAAAAAGGTAAGTTTTTTGAAGCACTTGCCAACTTCACTGATGGAAAGGCTGAAATTCGAGTGTGGAAATCTAAAACTAAATGAGCTCCTTTAAGAAAACTTCAAGGCCCGAAAGAGTGCACTGTGTCTGGCCAGTTAATGTTTTATATAATAATAATAATAAATCCATAGGTTCATGCCATAGTGGCATATCCGTTCCCTTAGTTTCAGGAATAGTTAAGCTTGTGTTGCTGCCTTTAAATACAGAAATATATTGTAAACTAAACTTAGCAACTACTTTTTGTACCTGGGATCCAGCTTTAGTTATTATATAAAAAATTAATGTTGGTAGAAAGACAGTTCCGTTGACCTTAGAAAACAGCCAGCCAGCTTATTCTAGCAGAAATAATTACTTACAGAATATTCACATGTGCTGTCAAGGTGATCTGAATTCCTGAGTAAAGACTTTTATATCCTTTGAGGTTGAGTTCAGTAAATCAGATTTCCCATGAGGAATGAATGTTTCAATGAGTCTCTTGCCCTTATTGACTCCAAAGTGAATTTGACTTTCAGATTGACTTGAATTACAGCTTCCTTTTATGCTTAGGAAGGTAATTAGAGATGGCGATGGGAATGATTTTGAAAACTGAGTGTCACTTATGGCTTTATTAAGAACTGTTGTCTGGCTTTCTCACTGATGTAACCAAGTGAGTATTAAGGAAAAATCATTGTCATGTCAGTACTTAACCTAAGAGACCATGAACTGAACGTTCTTTTTGTGACTAATTCAGTGAGAGATCCTACTATAGCTCTATACTAAGTTGTGGACAATCAGTTAACATGATATCCTATTTTCCAGGCCGTGGGACCCTATCAGATGAGCATGCTGGGGTGATATCTGTTCTAGCCCAGCAAGCAGCTAAGCTAACCTCTGACCCCACTGATATTCCTGTGGTATGTCTAGAATCAGATAATGGGTGAGTAGATGTCAGCAGATCCCTTCCTTTTTGTTTGGGAAAATCCCTGGGAAACTTGACTGGAGTCTGCCCTGGGTTTGTCAGTGATTCCCTATTCAAAATACTTTGGAGGTTTTTTACCCTTTGGACCACAGGAGCAGATAGACTGATCACTAAAGCTAATGTGCTTTCAGGCCACAATACATTTAGATGAAGAATTGTCATGAACTACCAAGTTCATTAAGAAAAAGAAAGTAATTGGGCCGAGCCCGTGGCGCACTCGGGAGAGTGCGGCACTGGGAGCGCAGCAGCGCTCCCGCCGCGGGTTCGGATCCTGTATAGGGATGACCGGTGCGCTCACTGGCTGAGTGCAGTGCAGCCGGTCTCAAAAAGGACAAAAAAAAAAAAAAGAAAAAGAAAGTAATAAATAGCACAAAGGAAGACTAATCAAAGAATAAAAACTAGTTCTAAAGTAATAAAAATACTAAAGCTATTCCAAGGGAGGGTCCTCAGAATAATATAAAGGGAAAAACTCAGAATACAAAACTATGCACAGTTTGATCCGTTTTGTAAAAAGAGAAAAAACATGTATATAGTGTACATGCAGATAAAACCAGGAAAATATTAATAGTGGTTGTCTATGAGTAGAAGAATTAAGGATTCATTTCATGTTTATATTTTATACTTTCCTATATTTCCCAAATGTTTTGTTGTGTTCATATAGTGCTTTTATACATGGAAAAATATTTTTGTATCCCAAACCAAACATCTTTAATCCTGCACTGAAGTCCCACTTGCAATATTTTACTGAATATTTTCCTCTTTGCCTTTCAGGAACATTATGATCCAGAAACATGATGGCATCACAGTGGCAGTGCACAAAATGGCCTCTTGACATCTCATATCAGTTCTCCAGCAGCCTGTCATAAGGACTCAATTCTACCTGTGTTAATTACCTTATAGAACTATTAAAGTTAGGCCATTCATTTAATGTGCATTGGGTACTTTTCTATTTTAGGGTCAGCTGCTTTTTAACAGTCTGTGGACTGACCTATCAAGATAAGTCAGTAAGGATCATCTTTTGAAGCAGCAGGTCCAGGTCACTTCATATATAGAATTTTGTTATGTTCGATAAATCTGTTTGGAAGAAAGCTTGGATCTTTTTTGGAGTCTTTAAACTCTTATCAAATGTTCATTTTTTTTCAATTAGTAAATTGTAATTTTTTCCAAAAAGGTCTTTGTTCCTAACTACTTACTTCTATTTCAGAAGGTTCTTGAAATACCTATATTCTCACAGAAGTGTCCATGGATATTTAAATCATATATACTCCTACCTCAGAACAACAGCATAATAGCCGATATTATTAAGCACTTAAATATATACTCATTTATTTTCATGAACAACCCTATACATAGTTACTCTTATTTGCCCTATTTTACATTTGTGTAATGAAGGCTAAGGGATTAGCAGTGTCACCATTTAATTCAGGACTCCAACCCAGAACCTGCACTCTTAACACCCAGACCATCAAAGAAATAGGCATGTTTGGCCAGAAAATAACCTTTTACCATTTGAAAATATAAGTCAACATTATCTTTTCAACCTTTATAGTTCTCAACAACAGAACTGTGTACAAACAGGCACAAAAGACTTCAATTTCTTGAATTTGAATGCAGTTCCTGTTGCTGTTTAGCAATTTAACATCTGACAGTATTAAAAAAAGATCTCCAGGGCCGGCCCGTGGCTCACTCGGGAGAGTGCGGTGCTGATAACACCAAGGCCCCGGGTTTGGATCCCATATAGGGATGGCCGGTTCGCTCACTGGCTGAGTGTGGTGCTGACAACACCAAGTCAAGGGTTAAGATCCCCTTACCGGTCGTTTTTTTTTTTTAAAAAAAGATCTCCAGAATGTTATTTATCCAAAAATATTATTCATCTGCAAAGTATGAGTACCTCATATGTGCTATGTGAGGATAAACATTTTGAGTAAGACATGGCTCCAGCCCTTGAGCTTGTATATGTATGTATGTTGTCTTCACCATACTGACATACAGTATATGTTTTATGTCTTTTCCACTAGCATATACCTTTTGAGGGCAAGAGTCTTAACTGCAGATGTATCTCAAGCACAGTTCCTAGCACATAGTAGGCACTGAATACTTGAATAAATAACTAATAACAAGAGTTTTGTGGTATGAACTAGGCTTCCAAAGATAGAATACTTGGAATAAGGGGAGTAAGGGGTTTCCAGACAGAGGAAATGGCAACGGCAAAGATGGGATAAGTCAAGAGGAGTATTTATGTAACAGCAAAAGCTATAGTTTGGTCTGTAGATGAAAAAGCTGGAAGGTAGGGCAGCTAACTCAAGGAACTTGAATATCTGGTTTTTAAGAATCCTATTACCGTGTTAACAGTAGGTTTTGGAGCAGGTGAGAGAAAAGAAAGCTTTAAGATTAATCTGTAAACTGAATTCTTTTTTTTTTTTTCTTATTAATACAGTATTTATTTGTCTTCTCTCTGTCAAACTCTGAGCCAACCACTTTCCCCAGGCTGCCTGGGGAGGTATAGGAGAAGGAACATACAGGGCAGATGGGACACAGGAGAAAGAACTATGGGAGGTGGAGACAGCTCCTTCACATGGCGAAGAGGATGAGAAAGACCACCATCAGGCAAAAAGAGTCCCATGGCCTCCGAGAGGGCAAAGCCCAGAATGGCGTAGGAGAAGAGCTGTTGCTTCAGAGAAGGGTTCCTGGCATAACCAATGATGAGGCTCCCAAACACAGTCCCAATCCCAGCCCCAGAACCAGCCACCCCAACTGTGGCAGCCCCAGCCCCAGTGAACTTCGCTGCTGTGTCGATGTCCCTTGAAATGGTGCTGGTTTGGAAGTTGCGGCTAGGGATAAGTGAGGTCAGGGGACACGGGACTGCCAAGCTGCTGAGGCTCTCATCTGTCAGTGTCTCTGGTCGTTTCAACCCCAATGCAGACAGTGGTCAGCTCAGCAGCTGAGAGGTGCTCCTGACCAAGGAGATGGAGACAAACTTGGAGCAAGTGTACATTTTCAGGGGGTGAGGGGCTGTGGCAGGAGAGCTGCTCCCAGTGCAGAGAAGACAGAGAGGGCTGAATTCATTTTTTTGAAGGAGAAAAATTTCCTCTTGCTTGTCTATCTCCAACTCTTACCCCAAAGTAACGAGCCCATCTTTAGTGAGTTTTCTCTAAATGCTAAGCATTTACATGCATTTAGCTCATTTAATCCTCAATCTTAGGTATTATCCCCATTTTAGAGAAGAAATAGGCACAACAAGATAATTAGCTCATGATCAAAAACGAGACAAAATAAACAGGCAGAAAGGGAACAAAGAATGAAGAATTAAAGATTGAATTCTCTTGGAGACAGGAAGAATGGTGCTTACAAGGAAGCAGTCAACTCAAATAGAGGGAAGGATTACAGAGAAAAGATGACTGGGTTTGACTACGTCTGTCGAAATTAAATTTCTGACAAGGCATCCTGGTGCTAATGCTCAATAACAAACTTGTATTGAGTGCTCACTGTTCCAGGCACAGGCTAAATCCACCTTCAGGAGCCTCTCACTATTTAGAACAAAATTTGTAGCTCTTACCACTGTCTTTCAACCCCTGCATGATCCAGCCCTTGCCTACCCGTTGTGCCACATATGGTGCCACCCTCTGCCTATCACAAATCCCCTGTCTAGCAGTGTCTGGCACATAGGCAACTGTTTATTGAACACAATGAATAAATTAACACTCTTATTATTCTTCACAACAACCTTTTGAAATAGGATAGTGTGTCCAATTTCTTGATGAAACGATGTGCTGTAAAGAGCTAGCTCAGGGATGGAGACAGCTGTACAGAACTAAGGCTGACTGAGGTATGATTTATGGGGGTTTCCTAAAACCATCCTGCGATGGTTAATTCTGTGTCCGCTTAACTGGGCCATGAGGTGCTTAGATTTTTGTTTAAACTGTTAGCCTATGAGTGTGTTCCTTGATATTTACATTTGAATCAGTAAACTGAGTAAAACTGTCCTTCCTAATGTGGGTGGCCCTCATGCAATCTATTGAAGTCCTAAATAGAATAAAAGCCTAAGAAAGAATTCTTTCTCTCTGCCTGTCTTTGAGCTGGGACATCAGTTTTCTACCTTTGGACTCAGACTGGAACTTACAGCATCTCACTCTCCAGGCTCTCAGGCCCTCTGACGTGGACTGGGACTTACACCATCCATCAGCTCTCCTCATTTTCAGGCCTTTGGATTCAGACTGGAACTACACCATTGAATCTCCTGAATCTCCAGCTTGCTGACTGCAGATCTTGGTTTTCTTGGTCTCCACAATCATGTGAGCCAATTCCTTATAGCAAATCAATCATCAATCTCTATATTCCCCAACCCCCCAAAATAGTTCTTGCTCAGGAGAACCCCAGCTAATACAACACCTTAGGTTTAATGATTCACTACAACTCATAGGACTGAGCATTCAGTTGTACTCACGTAATTTACAGCGAAAGGATAAAAAGCAGAATCACCAGAGGGAAAAGGCTGATGGGGCAAAGTCCAGAAGAAACCAGGTACAAGCTTTCAAGAATCCTCTTCCAGTGGACTCAAATAGGATACATTTAATTCCTCTAGCAATGAGTTGTGACAACACATGTGAAATGTTGCCAACCAGGGAAGCTCATTACAGACTCAGTGGATACAGGGGCTGGTCACATAAGCACCCCCTGCCTGATACATATCAAAATTCCAGATTCTCAGAAGGAAAGCAAGTGTTCAGCATAAACCATATTTTTGCAGTTTAGGCACAATGATCCACTCATCATTTAGGGAACGGTGGGAACCCTCCTGAAATGTAAGTTCCCAGATCACCACCAAAGACCAACCTTGTAAGCAGTCCTTTCAAGGAACAGGAGTCTCGGGCCAGCTGTGTTATCTCTTCTCTGCACAAGGATTCAACGAAGATGGAAAGATTCAGCTAAAAATAAAATCTCTTAATTCCAGATGTTAGTGCTATATTAAACTCTAAGTCCCCAAGTGTTAAAAATTATTCATGAGCTATATTTGGCAGTGAAATGAGGGTAACAGTGGTAACTTAGGAAATCATGCTGCATTCTTGCTAAATATCTTTAGGGCCAAGCATTAGAAGGTCAGAGGTTGAGGGAACTATTTATGTTTAGCTAAAGACCCTATAAGCTTTATTAAGCCACTTGGGTAAAGATGCCAAAATGTTAACTAATATCCCAAAGATGGCTTAGGAATTCTTTGCTGTTACTATTAGGCCCCAACTGATTGACATGAATCATTTTTAATGAATCAAATACCAATAGTAGGTTTATTAATGTGCAGTCACTTTACATATATGTTAATCTTCACAACCTTACAAAATAAAATTAGCCATATTTTGCAGTTTTAGAAATAAACTCAGAGAGGGTAACTTGCCCAGTCTCCAGGGTTAAAAAATGGCAAAGTTGAGATTCTAACCAGGTCTGCCATTTCCCACTATATGAGGGTATTTTTAAAAGTTCATAGAAAGTGTGAATTATTTTTTAATTCTACTTTTCCACGATCTTTCTGAAATATCCTCATACCTCAAAGATTCTTGTAAAGGTACACGTATGAAAGATATGTTTGAAGGGGTTCATCACTGAGGACTTTATAGCCCTCTTAGCCACTATGAATGACTCATTGTTCTGCTACATTTCAAATCTGACCCCAGCCCTCAGCATCAATATAAATCCTAGGCTTATCTTATTGTGTGATGAGTCATAGACAGCCCCACTTCAAAAGAGCAACAAGCATGCCACCTAAAAAAAAAAAAAAAAAAAAAAAAATCATCCTATAGATATTTATTTAAAAATGCTTTCTGGAATGTGTTAGTAATTACAAACAGCTCTCTAAAAAGCATTCATCTTCTCTCTTTGGGTTTTTGCCTTCTGAATGTTTATTTGATCCCTACCACCAGCACCACATAATTGCATAATCTTTCCATGGTTACACGTGGAGAGCATTCTCCCAAACCATGAAACTGTCCTTCTGCAAGCCCTTTAATCAAAAAGTATTATAGAGTTTGGTTTTAAGAGCCTGAGAGCCCTTGTTTTTAAAAAAGGAACATGCATAAATATGTGCAGATTTTCCAGATAAAACAAGAAAAACACACTTTTGCCTAAAATACACACTAATTTAAAATCTGGAATGTTGGTGTAAGGGAGATGAAAGGCAATTTCCTCTCAATTTCATTTTTTTAACGTGGAGGGTGGAGCAGAGGAAAGAAATGGGGAAAGAAAGCTGAATTATCCCAGTAATTTTCTAGGAGACTCTGCCTTAACCATTTCCAAAACGCAATAAGGAAAAAAAAATTATTACAACTACTACAAGTATACATCTTTCATGGGAGGTGTTCAAAGTTAAGATAATCAATATCTAAAAAGCAAATAAAATGGAGCCTGGAACTCCAAATTAGTAACCAGAATCTTTAGTCAACACACAAACGGCCACACAAATACACTGAACTTACTGAAGATTGCCATTTGTGGCCCAGGAAATTTCCCACCTTTCTCCTATAAAGTAAGCATGTTTGAGAATCTCCCTGAGGAACTTCAGAGACACATGTATTATCTCTGGGGCCCCATCCCCCTGCCTTGGGCATAGTCAGCAAAGGACTTTCCCCTTGGTTTACTCCAATGCTTGCTTTTGAGCCACGGTAAAAAATTCTACCTTCTGAGCAAGGGTGGGTGGAGGGCCTGAGATGATGTCAAATCACAGCCTTTCCTCCTCCCTTCAGGAAGTAAAGTCCACTGGCAGTCGTGCCTAAATTAGCTCTGCCCTCCTCAGCTCTCACAACGCTCTTGTTTTCATAGTAGTGGAATGAAATGCCATAGCAAGAGTAACACGCTAAAAAAATAGTATTTTTCTTCCTAAATTGCCTCATCTATGGAGAATTCCTTTGCTGAACACCACATCAAAGGTAAGATGGAAATGGGAGTGTGTGCTGGGTTAGTTTTCTATGTCTTGGATGACTGGCATCTCCCCTAGTTGAGCCTACTCACCAGATGGCCGTTCCACATAACCTGTCAGCTAATTCTCCTTTCCAGTAATGGCCTGTCTTCAACCTGGCAGTAGGAAATGACTTCTTCACGCCCCCCTCAGAATATCAACATTTTCTTTTGCATCTGCTGAATCATTTGTATGAAGGTTGCAGACACTATGACACTTCACTCCGAAATACTTTAGCACTGACCAGGAGGGTGATGCACAGCTTCCCCTAGGAATTGACTTGCAGACCTGGCAGGAAGGACACTGAGCACAGTTCTAGGAGCAGCCACCCCACAATCAGTGAGATCAGGCTTTGTAGTTAACTTAGTCCTTAGTTACATCAGGCAGACTTCATGTGTAACTAAGGGGTTAAAAAAATTATGGTACAAGTGGTTTTATACTACAGAAAAAAAACAGTTTAAAAGTTTAGATCAGTTTCTGGTCAGCTGAATCAACTATGCTATGGATTTCTCACAGGGATCTTCCACATTTAAAAGAGGAATCATGCTGAAGAAGGAGGGGAAGGCCCAATCTTACACTGAAACACTGGATGGAGGATGGGGATGGATGATTGTGCTTCATTTTTTCCTGGTAAGAAGTTGCTTTCCCCTTTCCTACTGTCTGAAAGAAGGCTCTCTGGAGAAAGGCTCAGAGCAGCCTAACAAGATCACTAAGGAAATACTTGGCATTTGAGTAAAAAGGGGGGCAGAATGAGGCCAGGAACTGTCAATAATTGCCAAAGTCAGAGGCCCATGCTGAACCCAGGAAAAAGCTGAAAATATCCCCCTTGAGTGAAAGCAGAAATGTTCATATTCAGTTCTATGCTCTTCCTCCCTACCATCCCTTAAACCTAGGAATTCTCCAGTCAGCAGTTCTGCCCTGGCAGCATGGCAATTAGGATTTGGGGACAATCCCAGAAGTAGCACTAAGAAGTGCTAAATTGTTCTGCAGATAGGTTCTCCAGCTCAGCCTGGCATATATGCAAACTGCTGGAAGCAGCCCCCTTCACTGATAGGGGAGGGGAACATTTCCTCTCCATTCAGGCTGCTGTTCACTTCCCAACCCATTCCCATTAACTATAACTTATGCCAGAATTAGACCAATGTCTATTTCTGATATGTCTGGAAAGAGAGAAGGATGTGGATTCTGAAATGGGTGCCTGATTTTTCTCCTTTATCCATAAGCAACTGGACTAGGCATTCCATTTTTAAAATTATTTCCCTCATCTTTTTTTTTTTTTTTTTTTAAAAAGATGACTGGTAAGGGGATCTCAACACTTGACTTGGTGTTGTCAGCACCACACTCTCCCAAGTGAGCTCACCAGCCATCCCTATATAGGGATCCGAACCCCTGGCCTTGGTGTTACCAGCACCACACTCCCCCAAGTGAGCCACAGGCCGGCCCTTCCCTCATCTTCTGAAAAGCTCTTGGGGTTGCTATGTGAGACAGTGGTGATCGGCATCATCAGCATGCCCATTCTACAATGTTGGTGAATGCCATCACAGCTGTGCCCCCAAACGACCCTGCAGAGAGTGGCACCAGCTCCATAATACTTAAGTGTTCCCAGGTAAGTTCTAACTTTGAGATGTTCTCACAAAAATGTCCCTTTCCTCCTGATGCTCCTCCCCTGCTCAGCCCTGCAGTAAGCAGCTCACAGAGATGGGGAGCACAAGGCCTGGTGACTGTTAGTGATCATGTAGCCTACAATGTGGATAACTAAGAACTCTATAAACAGAATGGTGGGAAAACATCATGCCTCCTTTATAGTAACACAGAAAGAAAAAGCGGGGCAGAAGTCTCTACCCAGCATTTATGTACTACAAAACTAATAAATAGAACACTATTTGTTAAACAATAACTTCATTGCCAGAGTGTGGAATCTCTTTTTTCCTCCCAGAAATGTTACAAATAGGGAAACTAAGAATGACCTAAGTCTGAGAGCCCTTCCTGTGGCTGGGCCACCTCCCCAAATCATAGGCTTCGCAGAACTCTTGGTGAGGATCAGTAGTTCTCCCACCTTTCAACCCAGTAACCACCCTTACATTTCCTACATCATCTTCTGATGAAAGGAAATTATTTGACCAATTTAGTTGCTGGTAAGAAAAAAATGCCTAATAACCAGATTAATAAACAATGTCCCATATTTTGAGTATAATGCTGGTTATTAAAACACAAAAAAATATACTGGATCCTCAAAATGTTAGCAATGAACTCAGGAGCTAATTGCTCACAGGGGTAATGTGGACACTTAGATGACTATGCTTTTGTTTCTCTATGAGTTACAAGTGCACTTTTCTACAATGGATGAACTCCTGAAAAGGTGAGTGAAAAATAACTGAATGTTCTCTGGGACCTCCCTACTTTAAAAAAAGGGATTCATTTTAACTTACCATACTTTATGTATTTGTATGTCTGTTTTCTGTATTCTGTTTCACTAGACTGAATGTTCCATGGGGGCAGGGACCATATCTGTGTTGCTCACCAGTGCGTACTCACTACTATTAAGTCCAGCTCTTATACTAGACTGGAACATAGCTGGCACCAATATGGATGGATAAACTGACAGACACATTTATGAATAAACAAATCAGAAGGAGAAAAGGTGATAAATTGGAGATGGGCAGGGGCCTTGTAAGCCATGCTAAGAATATTTGTTCTTATCTTGAGGTTATTAGGAGCTAATGAGAAAAATTAAGTAGAGGAGTGATGGGATCAGATTTGCATTTCAATAATATAGTTCTGGCTGCAGGGTGAATAATGGATTAGTGGGGGTTATGTCTGGAAGCAGGAAGATTCACTGGAGGGATATTGCAATAATCCAGGTAATAAGGCCCCAAATTCAGGCAGTAACAATATAGATGGAGAGGAAATACAGATCTGAGCAATATCAAGGAGGTAGACCTGTAAGACTTGGAGAGGATTAGATGTCAGGCAAAGAGAGGGAGTCAAGGAGTTCTGGGTTGCTGGCTTGGGCAATTTGGAGGATGATGAATGCCATTCAGTGAGTTGGCGGACATAGGAAGACGGGGAGAAAATCTGAAGATGGCTTGCATGGTTTAATTTTTAACACTCTTGAGTCTGAGGGACTTATAACCAGTAATGTGTTCAGCATTGTCTATGCGCATCTGGAGCACAGGACCTGCATAGTGAAATTTGTGAGTAACCAGCATACATGATAGTTTGAACTTTGGGGCAGAAGGAAGAAGAGGATTTAGGGCAGATCCCTGAGAAAAATCAATGTCTGGGAGATGGGTGGAATAGCCCAGAGGAAACTAAGAAGCAGTCAGAGAAGTAAACAACAATCCAGAAATGTCACAGCAGCTAAGGCAGAAATTTCCAGGAGAAAGTGATGAGCAGATGTGGATGAGGTCCAATATGACAGATATCACAAGTCTACTGGTTTAGCAACAAAGAAGTCTCTAACAGTTTTGATAAGAGCCATCACAGTGGAGTGGTGGGGGCTGAAGTTAGTGGACTTTAGTTTCCAGTGGACTGGTAAGAGAAGAGCAAGATTATCCTTAAAGAAGTTTGTCTATGATGGGTAGGAAGAGCTAAGGTGATACTAGAGAGGGGCACAGGGTAGGAAGAAGCTATTTGATATTAAATAAAAGTAACTGTGACAAAGCCTAGTGCTCTGTATACAAAACAGGCCATGAGGCTGATCCAGCCCCCTTTCCGGACACAATTAGAATGATCTGGTGAGGGAGCTCTCGCTGGGGGAGGGAGGCCTGCTTAGGGAGGCCTGCTTAAGGTGTTCCTACCCAGTTCAACTAATTAACTGCTCTTAAAGATAAAGAGGAAATGAGGAAACTTTTAGAAAATTTTTAGGATTTTTGCTTTATTTTGGGGTGAACCCATTTACAATGTCTGATGTGGACTCTGGTGACAGGACTTAAAACCACCAAGCTTGGTCCTACACATGAGATTATGTAGGATTACAGATTTATGTAGTTTGCTTAGTTAACTAAGGGAAAACCTAGACCTCGGGACAGATTTTTAATACCTTTGAGTCAAAACAGAAACAAAGTTGGAAGGTTTAGGGTTAAGGGAGGGGAACAAAAGCTCTGCCTTTGGCCTTCCTGACAGAGTGGAAGACAGACCAGTTATTAGAGACAAGTCATATCCATTCACTGCTACCACACCCAGACATCAAGGACAGACCAAAAAGGAAAGGTTCTGAACTGAGGGGACCAGTAGCTAGCCAAATTCAGGTGGCTAAGAACACAGAGGTCAGTATCCTGCAGATGCCAGCACAGAACCCTCATCCACAGAAAAGGAAACTTATTTTACAGAATGACCTCATTTTGGTGTTCCTTGCTCACAAGAGGACATAATCACCACTCTATTTTGAACTAAGACAAATAAGTCTAGGTTGAGATTTGAGTATATTTATACTTTCTAGCCAGATTTCCTGACAGAAGTGCCTTCGAGGAAAATTATGGTTTCAATTGCCTGAATCAGGGCCTGATAAAATGTCTTTTGCATTTTTGAATATATAGCCCAGGTGTCCATAGTATTGTTCATTCTAAATAAGGAAAGTTTTGTATCTTCTGTCAAATCAGAATGGGAAAAAGCATATTAAGGGACTTCCTCCTCACCACCCCAACTTTTGCAACCACTGAGCATTGCTACCAATTCTTAGTCCCTTGCCTCCAGACAAGAAATAATATTGGTCTGAAAATAAGAGTCTAGTGATAGGAATAGAAAGGAAGTCTTGATGATTATTTAGAAGGTAGGGTTTGAGGGAAAGGAGGTGTCTTAATGGGAAGCAGGTCTCTGACTCAGGTGAATGGGTGAATGGTACTAATCAAAAAAATCAAAGAGTAGGCACTGGATAACGGAAAGATTTGGTAGACAGTTATGAGTCTGAAGCTCTTGGGAAAATAGAATGGTAATACAAAAATAACAAAATCATAGTTGAGTATTAAGTGTCAAGTATTAAGTGCTTTACCAGAGTCCTATGAGCTACGTAATCTTCATTCTCCTCACTTTACAAAAGAAGGTTAACTCTGCAAAGCAGCTTGCTCAAGGTCACACCCCTAGTAGGAAGCAGAGCCAGGATGCAAGCCAAAGCAGGCTGATTGCAAGAGCATAATCAGAACTACACCCCCATCAATGAGCGGTAATTAAATTGATTAAACTGATTGTCCAGGGAGCAGGTATCAAGTGACATGAGTACAGAACCACAAGGGAAAAATATTTACCAGGTGGACAGGGAAAATGGAATCAGTGAGAGAGAACACAGGGTTCTGAGGTTATTAAGCAATGCATGGCATGGTTGAAAGCAGAGAAAGTAGACTGGAAAAGCCAATGTTACTGAAACAAGTAAAAGAAAGGGGAAGCTAGGAAGCCCCTGAAAACATTGAGTATTTGGTGGCTCCTAGGCTCTGAGTTACAGCAGACCCAGGCTAGGTTTCCCTTTGAGTTTCCCCCTCCTGACCCCTGCTGGGGATAAAGTTTGGCATTAAGCAAAAAGCGAAAAGAGCAATAGCTCTTCACTGCCCCCAGGCTAATCAGAATTCCTAGCAACAAAAGTTGGTACAGTACTCCAAAGAAAGAAAACCCAACCCCAAAAGAAGCGATTCCCGGAGGGGGGGGGTGTGCAGGCAAGGAGGGTTAGGTGGGACAGAGAAAAAGATGGGGCACAAGACCCAACCATAAAGTGTCCATACATCCTGGTTAACTCTTGCTGTCCTGGCATAATTAAGCACTCCCTTTTGATCTCAAGAGTATCCCAATTTGGATGAAAAATTATATGGTCACCCTATTTATATATCAAGTAAGGGACAATAGTCAGCTCAGGAACAGAGTTAAAGCAAAGCTAAAGTAAAAACTGATATGATTTTTTTTTTCCTTGTCTCTTTTTTCGTGTCCGGCAACAGACCGCAACCCTCAGTGTCACACCCGTACCGGACCGGCAACGGGATCGCAACCCTCGGTGCTGCGCCCGCCCCTCGCTCAGCCAGTGAGCGGAACCGGTCTGTATGTGGGATCCGAACCCTCGGCGGGAGAGCCTCCGCGCTCCCAAGCGGCGCACTGTAGCAGTGCGCCACCAGGCCGGCCCATGATTTTTTTTTTTTTTTTAAACCGGTAAGAGAACCACAACCCTTGGCATGGTGCGGACTCCACCACGCTCAGCCAGTGAACGCACCGGCCATCCCTATATAAGATCCAAACCCACGGCCTCGGCGCTACCAGCACCGCACTCTCCCGACTGAGCCACGGGGCCAGCCCAGACTAATTCTTTTTTTCACAAACGCTTTTTTCCCACAAAGGTAACTAGAATTAGCTGTCTTTAATAGATGCTATTTTAACAACTGTAAAGTACTAGTTGGTCTAGAGCTAGTCCATCTGGGTTCAAACCTCAGCACCTGCATCCTAAGCAAATCTTTGTCTCTCTAAACTTCAACTTCCTGATCTTTTTTTTTTCTGGTGGCTGGCAGGTATTGGGATCTGAAACCTTGACCCTGTAGTTATCAACACCATGCTCTAACCAACTGAGCCAAAATAAAATACTTACAAACCTATTCTGTAGCCTTGAGATGAGGATTAAATGAGATGCTTTTATGTAAAGTTCCTAGCCACCCTAAAAGGATGACTCCTCTATAAAATATAAGATGTATAATAAAGAACCACCAATAAATTAAACTGGCAAATACTAGTACACTGGAGGAATCATAACCTCTAATAGATGTAACTTCCTCTGTAATAGCTCACCTGACTTCTGGTCTGCTTTGATTTAGGTAAATGTGTTTGTGATGGGAATGATCAAGACTTTTGCAATTTTCTTTGTGGTCTTTAAAGAAGAGTTTGAAGGCACTTCAGAACAAACTGGTTGGATTGGATCCATCATGTCATCACTTCGTTTTTCTGCAGGTATATAGCTGGCAATAAACTTGCTGTACAAGGAGAAGGACCACAAGGGCAATTCCAAGAAGACTCCTCTGTCAGTCACTTAAGACTGGAGCATTGCTAAAATTTAGGTTCATTTACTAGTATGTAATACTGAGAAAGTAAGGAACCAGTGTTTAGCCTCCACTTGCCTTGGTAACTAAAATGGGAAAACTAGGGTTCAAACAAAGAAAGTTGATTAATTGAACTATTTAATTCCATGATTCAATTTTTCATGCCTTGTTTCTTTCCACAATCTGGTAATGCCTTAATATAGGTTCAGTGAGCTAGGCTCTCAACCTGGAAGTCAGACCATGAAATTCTTCTCATCTAAGCTTACCAAAAACAAAATATAGAACCAATTTCTCATCCTGTAGTTTTATTTGGAGCTGTAATATGGTGGAGGAGCATATTAGTGATTCAACCTTGTTCTAGTCATAGGATTCCTCTCCAAACCTGCTTACATATTTACGATCCTTTTTTTTTTTTTTTCATTCTCCTTCCAAAAAGCAAAATAGTGTGGGACTGGTACTACTTAGTACACATTTTTTGAAGGATACACAGTACTCGAGTCCTCTTTTTCTTCTTCAATAACTTAAGTCATGCATCAGAGTATAAGGCATGCCAGAGCATAGTTATGTAGTATTTGCCTTTCTTTCTTCTCCTAAGGTCCCCTGGCTGCCATTATTTGTGACATACTTGGAGAAAAAACTACCTCCATTCTTGGGACTCTCCTTGTTACTGGTGGATATATGATCAGCAGCTGGGCTACAAGTATCCCCTTTCTTTGTGTGACTATGGGACTTTTACCTGGTGAGTCCACTGTAAACACAAAACTATAAAAGATGGAAAAGGAACCTTCTCTTCTACTGTCCCTGTGTCCAAAGGGCCTAGTTATATCATCTCAGATCCAGAATATTTCATTTGGCATTAATTCACGTAATGTGAAAGCGATTCCAAACTATTGTTTTTCTTTTAGGAGTGGGTTTTGCTTTCTTGTACCAAGTAGCTGCTGTGGTAACTACCAAATACTTCAAAAGACGATTAGCTCTTTCTATAGCTATTGCCCGTTCTGGAATGGGACTGACGTTTCTGTTGGCACCTTTTACAAAATTCCTGATAGACCTATACGACTGGACAGGTGAGTCATTCTAAGTTTCTGAACTATCAACTCTGCAAGATTTAATGCTCATCTCTCTCCCTTTGATGACTGGAAATGATTTCACAAGGTATTGCCAGAGAGGAAATGAGCATGATTTCTAAAGTAAACATGCTTCTCTTCTTCCTTGGAGAATACATAGCAGAAGAGCTCTTAAAATACTTGCAGACTTTGCTAACTCACTCAAGCAACTCAAAATTCACCATAGTGTTCAATGTCTGAGGAAATGGAGGGCACTCAGTGCAGCTGGAAACACCTTGCAATAAAAGTGACACCCTGGAGAAACAAGGCTCCCCCCTTCCTCTCGTTCCCCCACCAAAGCATTCACTTTTCACATTTTCCCTTTAAGAAAAAAATTTGCACTTAAAAACTGCCTCTTCCATCAGACTTATTAAAATAGACAAAAAAGAAAAAAATACTTTAATAAAAGGATGATTGTTTCTTAATAATCTTGTATATACTGTCAACTATAAATTTGCACAAATAGAAACCATTCACCCCACAATTTTCCTTGTACTTGAGATAACATTTGGATTAAAATAATCTTAAATTACTGGAAAAAGTGTGTGTGTGTGTGTGTGTGTGTGTGTGTGTGTGTGTGTGTGTGTGTGTGTGTGTGTGTGTGTTCATATGCTTATTTCTATCTACATAGCAGTCTTGCTTAATCTTTCCTGAGTAAAAAAAACTATTCAGTAGTCTTATGGTGAATAGGACCAGCTGACAAATTCATAAGATATGACAGCAGAGCCTACAGCCCATTCTATCTCTAGAAGCACCATACACAAGTCAGTTTTGATCAGGACATGATGAAATCAAGCAATGACTCAGCCTCAAAGGCAAGACTAGCATCTATCTTCTTTCAAGGAAAATTTTTTAAATGTCACGGGATGAAAGGCTGCCCCCTTTTCTAAGGCTATTCTCAAATCATTCCAATTGTCTAATTCTGTTTTCTGTGCCTAAAATCCCTCATTTCAGGATATTTAGAATCCTTATTTAAAACACACTATAATTTTTTTAACATTTGAAATGTCACCCCCCACCTTCCAAGAAAAACTTTTATTGTTTTCTCCTTTAGCACAATAACAACCTCTCCTTCCATCCCATCTACTGGTGCAGCTTCCTGGTTTCCTATTTCCAAAGGACTCCATTTTTACAGAGATACAACAGTGTATATGGCTAACAAATAAGTCAACAGACTTAAAATGCTTTCATGTAAATTCAGGGGGCCAAGTAGGTTTTCGAGAATTTTGGATTATGTGGTGAGGCCTCTTCTGAGCCTATAAACACAAAATATCATGAACCAAGAGGTTATTATTAACTTCTCAATTTCTCTCTCCCATTTAGGTGCCCTTATATTATTTGGAGCAATTGCATTGAATTTGGTACCTTCTAGTATGCTCTTAAGACCCATCCATATCAAAAGCGAGAACAATTCTGATATTAAAGGTAGCAGTTTGTCTGCAGGTAGTCCAGAGGAACTGTGTGGGACAGAAACATCATACTGCGATGAGACACAAGAGTTTACCATCAAGGACAGTACTATGCAGAAAGCTGGGCAACCTGTTAAAAGTTTAATAGTCTCACTAAATAAAAGTGAAGAGTTCAACAATAGGCCTAACAGGAACAGACTGTCACTAATAAGTAATGAAGAAAGTTACCAGAAAAAGGCTATTTCATGGAGCTGCAAACAAAAACTCTATATTTCTCTCTTTGGGAATCCTTTCTTCTACATATTTACCTGGTCTTTTCTCCTCAGTCAGTTAGCATATTTCATCCTTACCTTTCACCTGGTAGCCAGAGCCAAAACACTGGGGATTGAAATCATGGATGCCTCCTACCTCGTTTCTGCAGCTGGTAAGAAACTGTAGCCTACCTTCAACCTCCTACCCAAAATGAAAAATGAACTTAATTTTACAAAAGTTTATTAAATTTTATTTAAAAGCTGAAGAAAAACAACAAGAGTTGTGGGAGGGCCAGGAAAAGCAAGTTTTTTGAGGCTAGAGCACCAGAGCATTTCCCTGCACAGATCTGTCACTGCAACTTACACACAGGCTCTCCTACTAGACAGTGGACCCCAAACCAAGTCTTACTCATTTTCATATATCAGTGTCTGACTCAGCAGATATGAATTATTTGTTGAATAAATGCTGAATTTCAAAAAGCTGGTGCTCAGTGGCAACAGCGACTCTAGGAAGCAGACAATCCTAGGTAGACAGCATAGTGCAGTGGTTCAAAGAATTGGTTCTGGAGCTAGCCTTCCCAGGTTCAAGTTCTTGCTCTGTATTTCCTAGCAGTGTGACCTTGGGCAAGTTACTTGCCTTCTCTGTGCCTTAATTTCCTCTTCTGTAATATAGGGATAATAGTCCCCACCCTCATAAGGTTGTCAGGATTAAAAAGTAATGTATGTAGAGTTTAGAATAATGCATACAGTAAGCATTCAATAATGGCTTATTAATATTTGTAACTAAGAATTTTTCTCGTTGGAACTCATAGTAAGACAGATAAAGATGACTTAAGGCTACTCACTAATGGACTGATATTTAAAATAAGTTAGAATGTAAATTAAAAATAAAAACAACCATTTTAGTTGAGCATTCACAAAAATGTTTGCAGACAGAATGTTTGATCCAGAATACATGCATTCTCTCAACTGGCAAAAAGGGAGCCAAAAAATGAAAACGGATGAGATGGAACTGCTTTGTTCTAATTATCTAGAAATTTTCAAGATTTCAACATTAACTTTTCTCTTACTAATTTCCTGACAAAAAGTGGATTTACCAAGCCCTTACAAAACTGACTGCTCCCGGTTTCAAATGTTACAATTGCAAAGATACTCCACTTCACCCAAATAAAGCTTGTATACACAAGACAAAGATACCTGGCCAAACTAATTTTTTCTACTAATATGTCTGGTAGTATCAATCTAGATCAGGTTAAGGCCATTTAATGGGAGCAAAGAACATAAAATAAAGTTTCAATATGCACCCTAGGAAATAACTGTAAAAACAGATACAGACATGGTAGTATGCATTTTTTATTCCCTTTTTTAATGGAGCAATTTATGTTTGAACCATAGGAAGAATGTGAAGTACAAAACAACTGGAGCTCATACTACTCTTGGTGAAAATCTCAGTGCATAACTGCTACAATAGCTTATAACAGGAAAAGAGTAAGAATGCTGTTAAGAAACTGAGTGGAAAATGAATTTTATTCAAGTTACACCACAGCTCCAATGTTCAAAATATGATCTCCTATTTCCAGACTTCCTACATATTTTCAAATTAAGCACAATGACCTTTGGAGAAGGACTTAATTTCCACAACTTCATATGCAATTACGAGAAAGAGTCCCCAACATCTACTTTATTTTTTAATTTTTTTTTAACATAAGACTTTCTCATTTATACTCCAGTCTTCACCGTACACTGACCTGAGGGCACACTAGTCTTAAAAATCTCACTTCCTCACCTGCAGGACCTCTTAGGGAAGGGACAGAAAGGCTTTCTGAGCCCAAGGTCCTCTGTAACCAGGGATTCCCAGGTTGGTGGTGTGAGCTTTCCAAACAGTCAGAAAAAACACCTGACGACTTGATGGATCTTCTACCCAACTCTGAAGGAGCCTTTGGTATTTTATTAAATGTATTTGGAATAGGTAAGTAATTGAGAGATCCTATTTGGTAGACAAATGAAGCTATTTTTTCCCTCACGTATCCTGACCTCAGGATGAGGTCATATTACTTGGAAAAATATGCCTTATTCACATTTTTCAAAGGAACTAAAAAAATGGAATTAAGATTTTATAAGACTTTTCCAATACTGTTCCAGGTATCATTGAGGCAGTCAGTCAGATTATTTCTGGATGGGTTGCTGATAAAAACTGGATCAAGAAGTATCATTACTACAAGTCTTACCTCATTCTCTGTGGCATCACTAACCTGCTTGCTCCATTAGCCACCACATTTCCACTACTTATGACCTACACCATCTTCTTTTCCATTTTCGCTGGTGGTTACCTGGCACTAATAATTCCTGTAGTGGTGAGTAGACACACTCATAACATTGTTAAACTATTTAGCAAAAGCAAGTATCAGTAACAATCTTACCAAAAGAGAATACATATTTTGCATTTTTGTAATTTAAAACATACCAAAAGCCTCAGAAACCCTGTAGATATATCCTGTCCAGTTATTCATCTTACCTTGGGGAGAAAACTATCCGCATAGGACAGGAAAGAACTGAAAACAAAAAAGGGATCAGCAGGATTCCATTTTGCTTATCAGTCTCACAAAAGGTTAGGCTTGTGTTCACTTCTCTCCTTCAGTTCCAGAAATTTCTCTGGCTCCTTCTAAGACTCATTTGAAGAGTTCCCTGAGAACTCTTCAAGAGAAAAAGGGTTTTCCTTGGCCAGTGTGGCTTCTCTCTTGTTGAGGTTATTGCCTTGAGCCTCTGTACTTTTTAGGAACATTGTTTTTACCTCCTCTACATTTTTACTCCAAAGTTGACTCAAAGTCCTGGACCCAAATGAAAATGAAGTACGTAATTATTTCTGACTTCTTGGAACTCCTTAGAACCCCATGGGTTCTTCTTAGAAGCAGGTCCTCAATGCTGGAACAGAATCCCTGGAAAACTTCTGGCCTGATATCAATATTAGCATAAGTGCTACAAGATACTATATAAGGCTTGGGCAAAAATCAAACTTCCTAAAGCTGAAATCAACTCCTTGTGGTATCTGATTTCTTAAAACCAGTGGTCAGTATTCAGACATAGGTGGAGTCAAGAATGTCACTGTCAGATAAGATTGTAAATACCATTTCCTAACAGAGAAGAGCAATAAGACTGGGGGGGGGGGGGGGAGG